TCATAATAAGCAGAGTTTGGATCTAAATTCCTCAGGTACTAGGGGAAGAAAAGAAGATAAGTTATTTCATCAACACTTTTGATTTTCAAGGAACTAAAATTACTGCTGATGCCTCAGCTTAAGACATTTTAAAAGGACAGCAACCTTGAGAACGTCACAGAATAAGCTGGAAGTGAGCTGAGAACTGACCTCAACTTCCAAACACAGGGACTCACACTCAAACTCAGTGATAACAGAGCATTCAACTTTAAAAATTCACTAATTTGAAGAAAAAAAGAAAACCTGTGAAGAATCCTTTACCCACTTTTGCAATATCTTCCCGAATACGTAAATTCCGAACTGTGATTCGTCTTTTAGAGTCAAAGTTCTGCCCAGGCATATCAATGTCATCTGCATATTTATCTTCATCTTCATCTTCACTGTTATGGTCTCTTTCCTAAGAACAGAGATAGAGAACTTATTTAGAAGCAGTCATTCGCTCTGGAGACAAGAATAAGAATCTGATTTTAGTGGTTTCGTTACAAATGGGCTTAAGTGTGCAGATGGATCATGCAGCTACATTCATCGTCCCAGAAATACTCATCAAGGATTGCCACTTCCTCCAATTAAAAACTGTAACTGTGATGAATTAAAAAAGCTACCTTGGGCAAATCATACCATGCCTTAACAAGCAGTTACTTGCTGACACCTTTAAGGTTTGACAACACACAGGACTTAAAAAAAAAAAAAAAAAAAAGCACAAAACAAAGCAATTAATAACAAAAAACCCTTCATGAAAGAAAAACAGGCAGCCAGTGATTGAGCCCAACTCTGAAACCCTTATGCCACCCTTGTTTTGCTGTTTCACTAACTACAGATCCTTTTCTCTGCCCATGATGTGATGCAGTGGGTATTCATCTTACTGTCTGTGAATTTGGTTCCTCTTCTCCCCACTGGTGTCTTGGGGAGTTCTGCAGCAAACAAAGAGCACATCAGCAGAGAGGATAAGATAGTGCAGAGAGGAAAGGCGGCAGGCAGATCAAGACCAATCAAAGCAGGACTTTGATGCTGGATACAAAAATACAATGTACTTGTGGCACAAAACACACAGATCACTGAATGCTGAGTATCCTAGGGAAGAGCTGTAACACAGCTCATCACTGAATTATCAACCAAATTTCTAGGATTCGCCGTTCTTGCAAAGGCTCAGTACTGTCACTGTTACCTAAAGCCTGCTACACCTTCACAGTAGAACAGATTGGAATATTTCACATCATGCAAATAAATCCAAGATTAAATTCTGAAAGCTTTAAAAAATATATATTAAAAAGCTAGGTATGCATATTTAATTAGCACTGACAAGACGACCGAGCTTGAATCAGAAGACTGAATTCAATCTGGAGAAACAAAACCTAATTTTTTTATTCACCTGCTTAGCCTTTCACTTTAAATGTTATTCTGCAGTGAATACACACATTAAAAAAAAAATAACAGCAGCTTTTATCTGGAAGGTCAGAACTCTATTTTGTGCTGGGTCAGAGATTCGGTTCACTCTGCCACCTGGTGACAAAATGCAGGGTGGCAACCTCTGGAAAATGGATTCTGATTGTACATCATCTATTGCTCAATGCCTTCTGTCTTAAAATACCAATTCAAACACTCTTTTGACCAGAAACAATCCCTATGTTGTCTCTGTGTTAGAAACCTGTTGTCAAAACTCCAAAATTGAGCTTAGAAAAAACCATGCTGTTAAAATCAGAACTTGACATCAAATATTATCCAAAGCATTGCCTATAATCTAAGAGGAACTGAAGTGGAAGATGCAAACTTCGCAGTTACAATCCAGAGGGAAATATCTGTGCTCAGCTTTCACATAATCAAAGACACTGCAAACAGCCATAGCAATGACTGAAGAAGAAACAAGCCTGGTTCCAGGATAAAGATACCTTCCTATTCCCATTTATACCGACCATAATAAAACAATCCACGCAACAATCACTACTTCAGTATTAGACAAAACAAACCTTTAAATTAAAAAAAAAACCAACCAAACAAAAAAAAACCATGCATCTCAGGGTATGAGCAGAATGACTGTATGGCAGATGAGCTTTCTGATCTAAAATACCACATCGTTAATTTCACAAGGTTAATAATCAGAAGGAAGTTTTGTCCAGAAGCGAAATACAAAGTCACACATCTGAAAGAAGGTACTCTGAATTCTTGTACAACACACAACCACCTGGAGCTACTTTAATATTTTGCAGGCTATAAAAAGCAACAGGAAACTGTGTATAGAGAATAAACGCATCAGAGAGCAGAAATAACCTGTTGGGTTTTTATTCAGCCTAAGCAAAAATAAATCAAGAGCTTAATGCACTTACCACTTGTTCCAGCTTTCCTGATGCTAACTCCTCCTGAAGCTTCTGGGCTTTCAGCGTGCGCTTGGCCTGCATATCATGCAAATGCATTTGTTTTAATATTTCCTTTTCATAGCAAGCACGTAGTGATGTCATAAGCATTTATTGTAATAGATTTTAAATGGCAGTGATCACAAGAAAATCAGCTTCCAGTTCTACTTGTAAAAAAATCAGTAGCCTAAAGTTTATCTCATCTATGCTTAAGACTCATCACAGTTCTTAGAGCCCCAAGGAAACTACATGTAACTCACCATTTTGCTGTTTTATGGTATACTGTTAAATAAGCAATTTTACTACAGCTCATGCAGCTGTACCGTTGCTTTGTGTGAACTAATTAAAGAAATACAGCTTATTTTAGTTCAACAGTGTTTGAGAACAAATGTGTTTTACCATAGTGCCCTCATCCTGTAGTCAGGAATTTCAGTAGTTAAGGTAGTTCACTGAGAGATAGTGCAAGCATTTACAACTCATACAAGAATCATGACATTTTAGCAATCAAAGTGATATTTTAGGGCAGCACAAAATAAGCTTTTATGTGCATGACATCACAGAACCAGAGTTACGTATGAACAACCACTGTTCCACAATAGTAACAAGAAGGACTCCAGATAGTAAGCATTGCTTAGAAATTCCATTTTTGCCTACAAATTAATCTGCACTTTGGTCAGCTCATTATAGGGTTTGTCTAGTTAATGCAAGCAATTAGGAGACACACATAGCAGACCCCCACTCAGATCTGAATTCCTCTATTTCTAGTGAAGTCTGCTAACACAACACGCACCCAGTTTTTCCATTACTGATACGGCACAAGGTCTAATGTTAGCAGTGTGCAAAACAAACACCCCTCACAGTAACCCAAACACTACATCTTTCCCCAGTGAACTGCAACGCCTACATACCAAGTCAACCTTGGCATATTCCTCCACAATCTTCATGTGCTCTTCTGGGTTATAACCATTCCAGCGATCTCGCTTTCCATCGTAATCAAACATCAGCTGAGGCTGCACGTGTTCATCTGGTGCAATATTCATGCCTGTGTATTTTGCTCCAACTTTCCTGGGCCTCTGGATGTAAAAAACATACAAAAGGGTTGGATCAATCGATCCAATTGAAACATGCCCTGCGACACCACTCTTTAAAAATGTTAACGTAAAAATGTTAAGATGGCCACACCAGCACTAGAACTGAAGTACACTAACATAAGGAACTAAATGTCAAACACTTCCAACTTTTATTGCAGTGTTTCCTGCAAGCAGAATTAAATGGTGATTATTTATTTGTTTTTCTCTTTATTTTCCCCACAGAACAGCTGCTTTAGATAATTTCAAACAGCATTACAGCACCTGTAATCTTTTCCAAAGTAACTGCTATTTTACCTATAGCAAGGCATTTTTCACTGTAGTCACATTCACTTTTGAACCATTAAAATATCAACAGTGTCAGGCTTACCTCCATGCAGTCCTTCTTTTTGTGTGTCAGTGCACCACAGTTCTCACAAGCTCCCTTGCGGTATCTGGTAGCTATAGAGTGCTAAACAGCAAAAGAAGACAGCATTAAACAAACCTGTGCTAAGATTCATACGGATATTTCCACCAATGGATTTATTTATTTTCTAACACAACCAAAGCACGCATGCTCCAAACTCAAAAGGCCATTTTGATGATCACCGAATGCTGGGTAATGCTTGCTGAGTACAAATTTCCAGTTCCTGTCACCCTCCACAACACATAATCAGAACGTGCAGGGTTTCAATACCTGTTACTGCATAGGAACAAACCACAGCTCTGTTTCAGGACAAAGGCAGCCCCATACCTCTTTCACTCCCCGTTTGTACCAGTCTCCTGAGGAGCTGTACTGCTTCTGCTTCTCCGGCTGAGGCCTCTGATGCTTCAGCGTTGGTCTTTTGGAAGGATCAATGTACCACGGGACTGAAGATATGTACTGAGGGATGTGAGGATTGATATCTCTGTGAAAAGTGTTATGAAATTAACACGTGGCACAGGAAAAAAACCACCACATTCAGTTAACAAACTGCTCTTACGTTAAACTCTGTCACCAGGTGAACCTATTTTACCAACAGAACTGTTAACTTCTGATGAATCTGCTTTACGAACTCACTTTCCTTCTTCATCCACTTCCGCAGGCGCGTTCCCCAGTTTCCTCTGCTCCTCCAATTCCTTCTTTTTCCTCCAGTCCTCCCTCGTCATCTTCTTCGGCTCCTCCATGCTCACGTCGCCCGGCCCTCCCGAAGGAGCTGCGTTTACCGCTGTCCCAGACGCCATTTTACTTCCCCCTGTAACACTAAAGAACCACACGCGTTCAAACCCGGCCGGATCCCACGAGGTTTTCCTCAGGCACCCCTCACAACCGCCCAGCCGCCCGCGACCCGGCGCCCACCCCTCACCTCCGTCGCCTGTTTACCAGCTAGGCCGCGCCGCCGCCCCACAATGCACCGCGGCCGGGAGCCCCGCCCCTTAAAGGCGCCTCGTCCCCCGAGGAACAGTCACGCAGTCACCACGGCAACGAGGTACCGGAACCCGGCAATCCCGCCGTCGCCCCGAGGCCGCTGAGCCAATCGGATGCCTGAGCGTTAGTCGAAACAGCCAATGGGAGGAGCGGAAGGGCTGTAGGGGCCGGTGGCGGCAGGGCGCCGTTTGTACTTTTCTCTGTCCGCGCTCTGAGCCGCTCCCGCCCGCTCCGCGCTGTCCTCTCTCTCCTGTTCCCGTCCGGCTCTCACCGCAGGTAAGTGTGTGGCTTTCCGCAGGGAGTTCTTTCTTGGCTGCGAGCGATCCTTCTGCCCTGGGGGAAGAGGCCCCCTGTGACCGCTGGCTGCTCGCCTTACGAGTCGGATCGCCAGCCTAGGCTTCCTGCAGTGAGCAGCACTGAGCGCTGGAGAGAAGTGAAGCAGCAAACGCGCAGGATTGCGGTGAGACCTTAAGTCTTTCTCAAACCCACTTGAGCTCCATGGGTCCGGGCATCGATGTATCCAGGGCCGATAGTCTGTAGCTAAACTGCTGTGGCACGAAGTACGGCTTGCTGTATTCTCTTCTAAGAGCCAACACGTGGCAACTGTCATCAGAGAGTCAAAGAACGCTTGGGTCAGAAGGGACCTCAAGGATCATCAAGTTCCAACCCCCTCCCCTTCCGCACCCCATCCCCCCCACTGCTGCACGCTGGGCCGCCAGCCTCCATATACAATACTACACCAGGTTGCCTCGTCCAACGTGGCACCATTCCTAGCGTACTTCAAACACTTGCTGTTTCTGTTAGCAAGAACTGCCTAGATTTTCTGTATGCCTTTCCAGGGTGGTCTCATCAGCCCAGATATGTCAACCCTGATCTTTGTGGATAAGGAGAATGGTGAAGTTGGTGCAACTAAGAACCAGCTGAGGCGCCCTTCATTATCATGTGGGTATATACTCCATGGAGGCAGTGTGGGATGGAGTACAGTGCGTGTCCTGGATTTTGTTAATCACTGTTTTGAACAGAAATAACAGGTTAAGTTGATAAATAATAAAACTAAGTTTATCAACTATTATAAATGTGGAAATCGCCTGTCTTTTGTCACAGACAAGATTTACACTTTTGAGTTACAAGTGGAGAACAAGTAGCTTTCTAGCACACACACTTCATTAGAAGCAAGCTTTAGTGTTAACATGGTTCTAAAGTTTGCCTTCCCTTCCTGTCTGCAGCAAAAGTCTTATCAGAAAGAACACAAGTCAATACTCCACTTCCAAAAAAACCAATCAGAACTCCAGCCACATCCCACTCTGTCAGAAAAGCTCTTGGAAACGTGAACAGAACTGTAGGAGTTACAAGCAAGAAGGAACAGAGAGATAAAAATCAGCCTTGCAGTGCAAAGAAAGTGAGTACAACCCTTCTGTAATGGATGGGTATCAGAAGAATGCATGATGTACCTACAACAGCTTAGGGAACACACAAGGGTGAAGAAGTGGCTCTAGACAAAATATTGGCTGGGCTATTGTCTTGTTCATATTCTGTTTAGTGGGTGTTTATTGTTATGAGCCTAAATATCTTACTGCAGAGATTTGTTGCCACTGTGTATCATCATACAAGCTCAGCTGAAGCATTTCCCCTTTTGCAGCTTATTTATATCAAGGGTGTTAGAATTCAGACAGTATGGCAATGGAATTCAGAGCCTGTATGGCAAGTGCTCACGTCTTTTCTATGCTATACAGGTTTACAGACACAAAAAGGGTATTACACTGAGAAAACATGGTAGCACAAATAACGTGACTTCTTCATTTTAAGGTTGCTGAAAAAGCTGTTGGATTAGAAAGCTGGGATGCAGTGGGTGATGAAGCTTACCCAGAAATAGAAAACATGTTTCCATTTGATCCTCTAGGTAAGAGCTCTTGGGGTAGTTATTAAAACCAAATTAGACTTTAAGTGTTGATGCTGTAAGACTTTCACTGAGCTGTTGTGGTAAGTAAGCTGGTATTACATTTCTGCAGAGTCCTTTCTTAAACATAAGGGCATTCAATATTTTTGAAGCATCACCTTGTTCTTGTTTGACTGTTTTAAACATACATACTGCTCGATACAGTTGACATAGCACAGGGATTAGAAAAATTCCTTACAGCTCTTGCTTTATAATGACTGTTATGTAGATTTCAGATAAGCGTTAGCATACAAAACTTCATGGACACTGATAAGTAACTGACAATAAGCACTCCATAAGAAGGAACTGTTGGATTGAATTGTCCTGGAACTACTCCTGTTTCACTTAACCAAAGACAACTTGCAGCTCCTCATGCTATTGTGTGCTATTACTGAACTACAGCATGTCTTCCCTAAACAGACTTCGAGAGTTTTGAAGTTCCTGAAGAGCACAGATTAAGCAATATCAAGCTGTATGGTGTTCCTCTCATGATACACACAAGTACTTGTGACAAACCTGTGAACATAACTTGTTCACCTGTGAAGCTTGAAAAGATGCCTTGGGAGTCTGGTAAGTGGAAAACTATCCTGAGTTCCAGTGCATACAGTGCTCATTAAGGAAGCAAGTTGGCTGCAGTAGTGAGCAACTATTGCTCCTGTAAGTACAACAGCAGGACGTTTGTCTCAAAGAGCTCTCAGTATACGACTGAGCTGAATTTAACTGGTCAGCTCTACTGGCATAGGTAGTGGTCTCAAAGCTGCTCTGCCATGTAACTTTCTGTGATGTATTGCTAAGTCATTTGCCAGGAGGAATTAGTTTATACAGGCTAACAATACTTGATGTAGCCATTCAAGAGGCTTTTGCTAATCCACCAGCAGCTAACTTGAGTGTAAACTTCTGGATTTTATGAGTAACTTATCTGCTCTAACTTTCAGACTTGCTCCAACCACCTACTGACTTTATTTCTACGCTGGATGACATCATTGATATGCCACCTATGAACTATGACTTTTAAAAGTATACTTTGAAGTTTCTATTGAATTTCCTGTTTATAATAAAGGTTAGTTTAACATGTGAAATAAAACTTGCTTGCTTTTTTCTTTCAGTAGAGTTAATATGCTATGTGCCCAAGATGTAGGCATTTTACTATCTGACAGGCTATTGAAACTAAGCTTAGTCTTGCTTAAGAGCTCATCTATAATTCAGTGTTCTGAACTATATCCAGATGTTAGTATATGTATCTTCAAGTCACAAGTACAGATTCAATTTCTTCTTCTCATCACTGTTGTTGTTCCAGTTCCTTTCTGTAATCACATAAGACAAGTCAGGTTAAGAGGTGGCATGATTCATAGTTGCCTGCTATACCACAGTGGATAAAACTTGGTTTGGGTGTTTAATGAAGGCTGGAATATGGGGCCCTTCACTACAAGGCACATCCTGGAACACGTTCAGAGAAGGGCAATGAAGCTGTGAGGGGTTTGGAGCACAAGTTGTAAGAGGAGCAGCTGAGGGAGCTGGGATTGTTCAGTCTGGAAGAGAGGAAGCTCAGGGGTGACCTAACCACTCTCCACAGTCACCTGAAAGGAGGTTGGTGAGGTAGGGGTCAACCTCTGCTCCCACATAAGTGCTAATAGTATGAGAGGAAACAGCCTCATGTTGCTTCACAGGAGGTTCAGGTGGGAAATTAGTGAATATTTCTCCAAGAAAGTGGTCAGGTGCTGAAAGGGTCTGCCTGGGGAGGTGGAGGAGTCACTGTCCCTAGATACATACAAGAAACAGATAGATACTGTAATGAGAGATGTGGTTCAGTGGGAATTATTGGTGATAGGTGGATGAGATATCAAGGTCTTTTCATAGTGATTCTATGATGAAAATATGCTATTCCATCTTCCTGCAAGTCTTATGATGCTTGTACATGTGTAGTAGTTACATATAGTTACTACTATAAACACCTGTTTTTTTTTTTTTTTTTCCAGAAAAAGAAATATTTACTTGCTGTTGCTGTGTGAATTCACTCTTGTGAGAAAAAAAAGTGAATTAATAGCAGATTCGTGTCCTTGTTTGATATACATACTACATTTCTAATTCTTAAGTATATTTCCAAGCAGTAAGAAGCCAGTTCAGAAAGTGTAATGCTATATTGTGATGGAAAACACAGCAATGATAGTGAGGTAGCAGAGTCCCAGGCTGCCAGAAGTGAGGACAAACCCAAGTGCAGCAGCTATGAATGCAAAAACAAAGGAAAAAAGACACTCACCTTCAGAAGGACTCACATAAGCAGGGATCTCCAGCAAGATACCTTACCTCCACTGCCAACCCTTAAATGAGGTCTGGGAGGGGGGAGGATCCTGGTCCCAACCCTTCCAGTCATTCGGTTGCATTACACACACCTGACCTCTGTCTGGTTTGGCCCTGCTTTCCCACCAGGTGCTTAATCACTGCTTCAGGCCATGATTTAGTGTTTCTGCTACAGGAAGTCCTAGCGAAAGTCAAGAATCATAGCCAGTAATGTTTGCTTCTAGTTTTGTACACAACATTAGCAATTGATGTTCACTTGCTTTTAGTTCCTGGGCAATACTTTGATCTACCTGGATTGCAGCAGCCTGAGCTGCCTTAAGCTCATTCTGACCATGAATTACAACACCATGATAGTTTTTTGTTGTTCTTTGGGGCAGCTGAGCTCCTGTACAATGGACAGGAACTGCTGTGTCTAATTTAACATCATTGTGACTGACAGATGTGGGACGGAGCTTGTCAACAGCTTTATTTTCCTAATTGGTAGGTGTGTAGTGCAGATGACATTTCAAGGCTGAAAGAAAGCAGGTGTTAGAGAAGCAGTTTAATGAGTCTAAACTAGTGGTTTTCCAGACCTCTACATCTCAACTCCTAACCCCTTATTCCCATCTCCTGTCTATGGAAGTCACTTTCTTGATAAATGAACAATGCTTTCTTATGATCATACATTGCAATCACCACAATGACAGCTGTAGTAGTTAAGACATCAATGTATGCTGTGCTGTGTGCCAGTGGTATACAAGATGTTGTTTATTAAGTAGTGTCCAACAGCTTTCCTGTATAAAGGTGAATTAAAAGCATCACTCAGCACTAGTCACAGAACACAAAGGTGACAGGTGACAAGAGCTGCATATCTAGGTTGTGGAAATGGTGCTGTGAGTAACTTGTATATTCTCTTTACTGTCTTATAACCCCATGATAGTCTGCATTGAGAAAATACTTGACTACTTGCTAGGGTCCTTTGCTTTAATAATTCTACATATATCAGTAGAACCTATGGTTTCTGTTATTGCCCTCCTTGTGGCTATCTTACTAGTCTAGTACCTAGAGAGGAGTTCTACATCTCACTTCCAGTGTGCTAAATATTAAGTGCTAAACATTCTACTGATGTTCTTGCTATATACTTGAAAGGGTGTCTTGGTGCTTTCTGTGTTTGTAATTAAGGTCCTGTAGGCTGTTCTTTTAACTGTTTTAATTAAAATACGTTGAAGATGTTGCTATTGCCACTCAGCAGAGATTCTGAGCAATTTCTGCCACTTGCTCAACTGTCAGTGGGTTGTTGGGAACCTGAGATTGCAGATAGACTTGTAGAGTGTGATTTTAAGTCCATGAAGATGGAAGAAAAGTGTTTTGATCCATAGATCCTATTAAAAGAAACCAACAAAACTACTGGATAAACGTAATTGGAGACTGTTTAGAGAACACTTCTACGGTGCTTCTCAAAGCAGGCCTAAGACTTCTTATGTTTTCTTGAATCTTTAAAATGAACTTGGGAACCAGCAGCCTGTAGAAGCTTTTCTCAGAACTGTTAGACAGCTTCTTACAGTCTTGTGGAGGGTAGCAGCCTGGGTTTTGCAGTGAGGTGGTCTGGGTGCTCCAGGTTGCCACAACTAAGCAGCTGCAAAAACAGCTTTCCAGCTCATGCTTATACTGGTACTTGAAGTAACAAATAATATGCTAAATGCATGTTAACTAAAAGAAATCAGGCTAATTTGGTGCAGATCGGGGACGGTTTTAGAAGCGTGCTAAAGGTGCAGCCTGACTGCTTAAAGGTGTGATATGAATGTGAAATTGTTTTCATGCTGTGCCCTGCACAGCTGTCAAAGGTGGAAAAAATCCGTTTGAAGACTAGAAAGAATAACAGGCCTCAGAATGTTTCAAGTCCTTAATGCTTTTTACTCTTCAGAAGCAGATGAGCCTGAAGGTAGACAAGCCTTTTGGGAATTGTCCTGTTGCAAATCCTGACCTTTAATCAGGTTTGCTGTTTCTGAACTATCAGCCACCTGAAATAAAACAGGCGTTCATTCTGCTTTGCTCTCAAACTTGTCAGGGTTTTAGGCAGTGTTAAATACCAATGAATTATACAGTAGCTGCTCTTTGTCTTTATGACTAGCTTCTTGCCTTTGGCTTGAAACTTCAAAAAATAAGCAGGAGAGTATCAGACCAGCAAAAACTCTGAACTGAATTTCCTTTAATCATGTATCTCAGGTTTTTGATGACCCTTACTTCAGACTCAAGAAATATTGAAATTAGCATTGCCTTTTCAGCTGAAATCTAAGTTTGGGTATAATCTAACAGTCACAGGAGTTAAGGCAAAACTAGAAGGAAGTAAGGAAATGGGCAGTCCTCAAACTTTGTCTCTACCAGTTCATTTGAGCCGGGAGGAGACTCCAGAGCCAATTGAAGCTGAAAATGCCTGTAAGTAAGGCACTGAAACTGATCGCACAGTGCCACCATGTGGCCTCCTATGCAGCCATGCAAGTTAAAACAAAAAACAAGTCATTTGATGTAATACAAAACACCGGGCAACATAGTATGAGATAACGCAAGGCTGTGACACTAAATCAAGTTAAATGCATAAATATAGGCTGCATCTATTTGCATATCCGTCTGTTTGATCTGGAGAGATATTAGTATTTTGTGCTAGGGAGGTTTTTATAACAATCCTTCTTTATTCGTTCTTCTGAAATATTCAGTAATCAAGTGCACACATCTATTCTTCACTCCTCCAGTACTTACATTTTTGTGCCACACCCACAGTGTTGCTCATGATGTCAAAACATTCAGAGCACGCTTGCTAGCTGTAAGATTTCATATCGGTATGGATAGCTTCTGTCATGTTCGTAAATGATAATCAGATGGTTGAGACAGTCTTCCTGCTGCTGGTAAACTTTGCCCTTGAGCCCCCCTGAGGCTTGTTTTATTCTCATTGGATTCTCTGGCGAATGCAGGTCAAATCTGCCTCAAAGCTCAGCTCTGTAAACATTTGTCAGAAAGATCCGTTGGTTTCAGTTAGCTTTTAATTTTCCTGTTTCAGGTACTTCTGAACTCGGTTGGTTGGGGTTAAAGGGAAATGCATGCTCTTGTGATTCTTGCAACTTGCATGACAACCAAGCTGAGATGAGGCTCAATCATTGCCTTCCTGTTTGCAGTGACTCAATGAGATCGCAGTCACAAGTGTGCAGTCTCTTCTGTTAGGAAAACATAAACTTTTAGGCATCTTCTGCGGCTCTGAGGCTATGTAAGCCCACAAAACGCTGTTTTCTGAGATGCAGGCAGCCCACCCTTTGGGAGTTCTGCACTGCTACCTGTTGTTTCAACTAGGGGCAAACACTATCTTTGGTAACCAAAAAACAATTTCATGACCAGTTTTGCTGTTGATATATATATAAAAAGTGACATATATTGTAAAATGTTGCTTCTTTGATGGGGCAGTGTCAGAAATAGATACAACTTGAGCTCAAAGAGGTGTCAGAGCATTACCTCACCGACAGAAGCCCTGCTTAAAACTGTTTGCCTTCTTTCAGTTCACTCGATCAGGTTTATGCTTCCTGCCAAGGATGGAAATCCATGGCTATGATATAAGTGGTGTCTTGTTCTCAGTCTGAGTGATCCTTAAAAGGCCAATGTAACCATGATGTGACTGGGAAATCTGGATTGTAATGAGACATATAATAGGTACCTCATTGACTGCTATCAGTCTGTCAGATGTTGTCTTTCTCAGCAACCTGATAGAAACAACTACTTTAAATCCTTACCTGAATTTCTGCAAAGAGAACTCAGAGATTC